CACGGGAGGAGGGACAGGTGCAGGTGGACAGAGGTCACGGGAGGAGGGACAGGTGCAGGTGGACAGAGGTCACGGGAGGAGGGACAGGTGCAGGTGGACAGAGGTCACGGGAGGAGGGACAGGTGCAGGTGGACAGAGGTCACGGGAGGAGGGACAGGTGCAGGTGGACAGAGGTCACGGGAGGAGGGACAGGTGCAGGTGGACAGAGGTCACGGGAGGAGGGACAGGTGCAGGTGGACAGAGGTCACGGGAGGAGGGACAGGTGCAGGTGGACAGAGGTCACGGGAGGAGGGACAGGTGCAGGTGGACAGAGGTCACGGGAGGAGGGACAGGTGCAGGTGGACAGAGGTCACGGGAGGAGGGACAGGTGCAGGTGGACAGAGGTCACGGGAGGAGGGACAGGTGCAGGTGGACAGAGGTCACGGGAGGAGGGACAGGTGCAGGTGGACAGAGGTCACGGGAGGAGGGACAGGTGCAGGTGGACAGAGGTCACGGGAGGAGGGACAGGTGCAGGTGGACAGAGGTCACGGGAGGAGGGACAGGTGCAGGTGGACAGAGGTCACGGGAGGAGGGACAGGTGCAGGTGGACAGAGGTCACGGGAGGAGGGACAGGTGCAGGTGGACAGAGGTCACGGGAGGAGGGACAGGTGCAGGTGGACAGAGGTCACGGGAGGAGGGACAGGTGCAGGTGGACAGAGGTCACGGGAGGAGGGACAGGTGCAGGTGGACAGAGGTCACGGGAGGAGGGACAGGTGCAGGTGGACAGAGGTCACGGGAGGAGGGACAGGTGCAGGTGGACAGAGGTCACGGGAGGAGGGACAGGTGCAGGTGGACAGAGGTCACGGGAGGAGGGACAGGTGCAGGTGGACAGAGGTCACGGGAGGAGGGACAGGTGCAGGTGGACAGAGGTCACGGGAGGAGGGACAGGTGCAGGTGGACAGAGGTCACGGGAGGAGGGACAGGTGCAGGTGGACAGAGGTCACGGGAGGAGGGACAGGTGCAGGTGGACAGAGGTCACGGGAGGAGGGACAGGTGCAGGTGGACAGAGGTCACGGGAGGAGGGACAGGTGCAGGTGGACAGAGGTCACGGGAGGAGGGACAGGTGCAGGTGGACAGAGGTCACGGGAGGAGGGACAGGTGCAGGTGGACAGAGGTCACGGGAGGAGGGACAGGTGCAGGTGGACAGAGGTCACGGGAGGAGGGACAGGTGCAGGTGGACAGAGGTCACGGGAGGAGGGACAGGTGCAGGTGGACAGAGGTCACGGGAGGAGGGACAGGTGCAGGTGGACAGAGGTCACGGGAGGAGGGACAGGTGCAGGTGGACAGAGGTCACGGGAGGAGGGACAGGTGCAGGTGGACAGAGGTCACGGGAGGAGGGACAGGTGCAGGTGGACAGAGGTCACGGGAGGAGGGACAGGTGCAGGTGGACAGAGGTCACGGGAGGAGGGACAGGTGCAGGTGGACAGAGGTCACGGGAGGAGGGACAGGTGCAGGTGGACAGAGGTCACGGGAGGAGGGACAGGTGCAGGTGGACAGAGGTCACGGGAGGAGGGACAGGTGCAGGTGGACAGAGGTCACGGGAGGAGGGACAGGTGCAGGTGGACAGAGGTCACGGGAGGAGGGACAGGTGCAGGTGGACAGAGGTCACGGGAGGAGGGACAGGTGCAGGTGGACAGAGGTCACGGGAGGAGGGACAGGTGCAGGTGGACAGAGGTCACGGGAGGAGGGACAGGTGCAGGTGGACAGAGGTCACGGGAGGAGGGACAGGTGCAGGTGGACAGAGGTCACGGGAGGAGGGACAGGTGCAGGTGGACAGAGGTCACGGGAGGAGGGACAGGTGCAGGTGGACAGAGGTCACGGGAGGAGGGACAGGTGCAGGTGGACAGAGGTCACGGGAGGAGGGACAGGTGCAGGTGGACAGAGGTCACGGGAGGAGGGACAGGTGCAGGTGGACAGAGGTCACGGGAGGAGGGACAGGTGCAGGTGGACAGAGGTCACGGGAGGAGGGACAGGTGCAGGTGGACAGAGGTCACGGGAGGAGGGACAGGTGCAGGTGGACAGAGGTCACGGGAGGAGGGACAGGTGCAGGTGGACAGAGGTCACGGGAGGAGGGACAGGTGCAGGTGGACAGAGGTCACGGGAGGAGGGACAGGTGCAGGTGGACAGAGGTCACGGGAGGAGGGACAGGTGCAGGTGGACAGAGGTCACGGGAGGAGGGACAGGTGCAGGTGGACAGAGGTCACGGGAGGAGGGACAGGTGCAGGTGGACAGAGGTCACGGGAGGAGGGACAGGTGCAGGTGGACAGAGGTCACGGGAGGAGGGACAGGTGCAGGTGGACAGAGGTCACGGGAGGAGGGACAGGTGCAGGTGGACAGAGGTCACGGGAGGAGGGACAGGTGCAGGTGGACAGAGGTCACGGGAGGAGGGACAGGTGCAGGTGGACAGAGGTCACGGGAGGAGGGACAGGTGCAGGTGGACAGAGGTCACGGGAGGAGGGACAGGTGCAGGTGGACAGAGGTCACGGGAGGAGGGACAGGTGCAGGTGGACAGAGGTCACGGGAGGAGGGACAGGTGCAGGTGGACAGAGGTCACGGGAGGAGGGACAGGTGCAGGTGGACAGAGGTCACGGGAGGAGGGACAGGTGCAGGTGGACAGAGGTCACGGGAGGAGGGACAGGTGCAGGTGGACAGAGGTCACGGGAGGAGGGACAGGTGCAGGTGGACAGAGGTCACGGGAGGAGGGACAGGTGCAGGTGGACAGAGGTCACGGGAGGAGGGACAGGTGCAGGTGGACAGAGGTCACGGGAGGAGGGACAGGTGCAGGTGGACAGAGGTCACGGGAGGAGGGACAGGTGCAGGTGGACAGAGGTCACGGGAGGAGGGACAGGTGCAGGTGGACAGAGGTCACGGGAGGAGGGACAGGTGCAGGTGGACAGAGGTCACGGGAGGAGGGACAGGTGCAGGTGGACAGAGGTCACGGGAGGAGGGACAGGTGCAGGTGGACAGAGGTCACGGGAGGAGGGACAGGTGCAGGTGGACAGAGGTCACGGGAGGAGGGACAGGTGCAGGTGGACAGAGGTCACGGGAGGAGGGGTGGGTGCTGCCAGCCCTCACCTGCTTCAGAACAGAACCGGGGACAGCTGCTCCCGCCACCGCTGGCTGGGACCAGGGCCCTCACCTGGGGTCTAACAGCACAGCTGCCCTCGGGCTGCCTGTGCCAGGTGCGCCCCGCGGAGTGTCTGCAGTGTCAGGACCCAGAGCCGCCCGGCCCCTCCCAGGGGAGCAGCTGGTGCCCTGGTCAGGGGACTGCACGTGTGTAATGAGAGGAGACAGCGCTTGATCCCTGAGTCGGAGGAAACGCCAGGAGAAATCGTTCAGTTTAAAGAAAAAGGGTGTACGGACGTGACAGGGCGCGTGACCTGCCTCCGGGTCTGACTTCTGAGCCGTGAACATGTTTCATGGACTCAGAGCCACGGCGAAGGGAAAAAGCACCGAATCTTACGGCGGAACAGAAACGGGAGCGTCAGCGCGATGGCACCACAGCACGGGGGGCACTTCCCTCCCAGGGCCTGAGCGGAGGGCAGGGGTTGGAGGGACACGCCCGCAGGCGGCCGGTTGCAGAGGAACTCGCACCTTGAGGGCTGGCGGGTAATCGGCAAACACCTCCAGGACGCGCCTCACGCTGAAGGTCAGGTAGCCCGCGGCCGTGAAGAGCAGCGGTGCCGTGAGGCTGCAGATGGCGATCAGCACCTCCACCTGGGGGGCAGGCGGCGTGGGGGCCGGTCA